TGTGAAGTTTGGCACAAAACTGTACCTATATTCGTAACCAAATGAGCAAATATTTATATTCGCTTATGAATAGTGAATTTCACAGCTAAAACTAAACTTTTTTGGCATCAAATAAAATCTTGTGAGAAATTGAAAAAATTTACAAAAATTATTTTTGAATGTCCTTTAGTAGGGGTTTCGAATAATCCTAGAATTGGAATTTAAAATATCTAACAATCGGTTTTGCCGACAGATACCAATGTACGATTATTTACATTTATTTTGACTTTGGTTGTGGTTATTCAAATTGTTGACCCTCTATGGAGTAGATTGCGAAGGAATGGGCCATTTCGCATCGGACCTAAACAAATATGATATAAATATTGCGACGTGCCAGGTTTGGAATATTTTTATTATTTCCTTCACTTTGTATGAGATATGTGATAATTTCTAGAAAATTTTAAAATGTGCGTTAGGTACCAGATATAGTGGATCGAAGTATTCCATTTTCACACTTCATCTTCATAAAGATAAAAATTCTGGTATGGGCAAAATTACAAGAAAATCGAATATTTATATCTAATTTTATGAGAATTCATAAATTCCATATTCATCTCAGATTTCTGGCTGCGGGAAATATTTCGGTATAGCAAGTTGTAAAGAATCACTCCCTTGTTTCACAAATTAGAACAGACAAAAATATTAAAAAATGTGCCCCTTTGTGGGGGAGGACCAAAGGAAATGGTCCGATCTCTACCATCTTTATAACAGATCTTGTGCTGATGAGAGCATTGAAATGTAGCCAGTCTCAATAGAATCGTATGTTAATTTCGCGTTTTATGATCTTCATGGATATTGAAAATGTTGACCCTTTTGTGGGGGTGGTACCAGAAGAAGAGGACCGATATATCCCATCTTCAGAGCAGATCTTGTGTTACTGGAAATAAAGGGATGTGTGAAATATGAAGGAAACCGGATACCTATTTCAGTTTTATAATCGCTTTGGTTATTCAAAACTTTGACCCTATTAGGAGGAGGTACCAGAAGAAAAGGTCCGATCTCTACCATTTTTATAACAGATCCTGTGCTGATGGAAATATTGATATTTACCAAGTCTGAATGGAATCGTGGATATTGAAAATTTTTACCCTTTTGTGGGAGAGGTACCAGAAGAAGTGGACCGACATATCCCATCTTCACAGCAGATCTTGTGTTAGTGGAAATAATGGAATGTGTGAAATATGAAGGAAACCGGATACTTATTTCGGTTTTACAATCATTTTGGTTATTCAAAACTTTGACCCTATGAGGGGGAGGTACCAGAAGAAATGGTGCGATCTCTACCATCAACAGATCTTATACTGTTGGAAATATTGAGATGTACCAAGTCTAAATGAAATCAGAGGTTATTTTCGTGTTTTGTGAGCTAAAAATTTTGACTCCTTGTGGGGGAGGTATCAGAAGGAGAAGGAAATAAAAAAAATCTGCAACAAAGTTAAACGCCATAATTTTTACTTATTTTTAAATTTTATTGAATGACAGCAAAAAATGTCGGAAATAGCATAACATATTAGAATAAGTTTAGATTTGTTCGAATGTGTCACATTTGGATCGAATTATGGCCTTCAAACGGCCAAAGAAACCATCACACGCTGCCCAAATGTTGCTATGCGGTATTTTGGCCCATTCCCGGCGAAGCACTTGCTTAAGGTGATCGACACTTTGTATTTTCTAATGGCAATCTTGCTTTCCAAATTACTCCATATACGATAGTTCAATAAATTGGTATCCGGAGATTTTGGTAGCCACTCTGCGCTGCAAATGAAGCGAGGAACCTCATTTTGTAACTATTCTGGGGCGGCGCGTGCTGAGTGCGATGGTCCTGTTGGAATGTCCAAGGACTACGGCCAAAATGTTTACATGTCCAAGTCTTCAATACACCCTTCAGAATATTTTCGCAATAACATTCGGCATTTATTCTGGTGCCACGTTGATTAATACGAGCGGAGAGCGACCTTCGGCTGTTACAGCAGCCACACCATCACCATGACCGGCGCATGAGTTCTGGTGGCCAACCGAAGATGCACATTTTCAGCTGACCTCTTTCGCAAGTAAACACGATCATTTTTTTCGCTTACAAACTGCTGGACAACGAATATTTTCTGATCGGAAAAAACCAAATTCGGCAGTTCACCACTTTCGTCCAAGCGAAGCAACTCTTTAGCTCTTTTGAGTCTATTTTCTTTCTGTTGCGGTGTAAGTTCTTGCAGTTTTCGGAATTTCAATGGCTTTACCCCGAGCTCATTTTTTAACTCACCCTGTATATATTCCATCTTCACACCACAACTTGGCTTAATAAAAGTATTGTAATGTGTGTTCATTTTAAGACAATCGGACTTTTACATCACATTTTATAAGAGTTACTTGATAGAGTGGACCAAGAGCTGATGCAAATATTAGGATTTGCAAAGTTGGACCAAAATAAGATTATCCTTTCTATTTCTGTACTTTTGAAAATTTCGACCTTTTGTGGGGGAGATACCAGTAGAAGTGGGCCGATCTAAGTTTGATAATATTATTCAGATGTATCAAGTTTACGCTAAATCGGATACTCCCTTCGAGATTCATCGTGCGCACCAGCCAGATGGACGGACTGATAATCCTAGATCGACTCCAAATGTCCTGAAACGGATTTGGTCCAAAGAGACCTAGGGTCTAAACCCATTATTTCGATAAGGCACGTTTTGGACGTATCAAATGATATATACCCTCTCTAGCCATATGGCTGAGGGTATAAACAGAAACTTCAAAGACTTAAAGGCCTCCCTGGATATATTCCATAAAAATCGTGAATGTTTAGGTTAGATCTCTTGGGGTATTTTAATTTTAGAAATTTCTGAATTTCCCAACATTTTCTATTTGCCAAAGAAAGGTTCGTTATTTTGTGCTTTGTTTTTAACGACAAGTAGGTGACCATCTGGTAATTATATAAGCCTTAAACACAGTCTTTAACTTATTTGTCTCCATTTAAGTTGTCCTCATAGTGGAGGCTATGAAAAGTTCTGATTTAAAGCCTCTTTCTTAATTTCGCTTCATATTTACTGCATAAACGTATACTATATGTGTGCATATGTAAATTCGAGGTGATTCTACATTTTAGATCCGACAACTGGGTGCAGTATCCAAACAACTCTAATTGTCCATTTTTTTCTTCTCACTCAGCTCATCGTTGATTATCGATTGGCACCTTGTCAATTGCAATAAATGACTGACATAAAACCAGATTTCACAGGTTAAAAACGTGAATAAAATTGAAAAATATTAATAATATTCAAATAAATATTTAATACAATGTTGATCGGAAATGTGAAGTCTTTAAAAAAAAAACCCCGATTATTTTTTCAATGTAGTTCATTTTTTAAGAGATTCCTTAAAGTTGAATTACACATTGAAGGTTTAAGTATGAATCAAAAAAAAAAAAAAAACAAGTAAATAAGGAGCTAAGTTCGGTCGGGCCGAACTTTTAATACCCTAAACTATTTCGAAGGAACTTGAAAAATTTCAAAAAAAAAAAAAATCCGAAAACTACCACTTAAATGAAAACCGTTATATGGGGACTATACCAAGACGTGGACCAGCATACGAAATTTTCTGTCATTGGCTGTAGTGCCCATTACGAACTTCAAATACGTAATTTGAAACGATTCCGGTGAATAATGTTGCTGAAATCGTCAAAATATTGACTATCGGGAGGTACCGTTATATGGGGGCTATATGAAGACGTGGACCTGCATACACAAATTTTTGTCATAGGTTGTAGTACCCATTAGGATCTTCCAGTAAGATTCTGGTAATAATGTTGCTGAAATCGTCAAAATACCGAATATAGGGAGGTACCGTTATATGGGGGCTATACGAAGACGTAGACATGCGCAGACAATTTTCTGTCTTAGGATGTAGTACCCGTTACGAACATTAAGTACGAAATTCGAAATAATTTCGGTAAGTAATGTCCCTAAAATGATCAAACTACCGAATATCGGAAGGTACCGTTATATGGGAGCTGTACGATATCGTAGACTTATATAGATAGTTCTCCTTCAAGGGATAAGGTACTCACAAAGAACTCATTGTGTGGATTTTCAGACCATTCCATTGAAAAATGTGGCTAAAATCATCAAAATACCGAATATCGGGGGGGTACCGTTACATGGGGGCTATACGATATCGTAGATCTATATAGACAATTCTTTTTCAGCGGGTAAAGTACTCACAAGGGACTCCTTGTGTAGAATTTCAGACAATTCCGTTGAAAAATGTGGCTAAAATCATCAAAATACCGAATATCGAGGGGCCGTTATATGGGGGCTATGCGATATCGTGGACTTATATATATAATTCTCTTTCAATGGATGAAGTACTCACAAGGAACTCATTGTGTGGATTTTCAGACCATTCCATTGAAAAATGTGGCTAAAATCATCAAAAAACCGAATATCGGGGGGTACCGTTACATGGGGGCTAAACGATATTGCGGACCTATAGAGATAATTCTCTTTCAGGGGGTAAAGTACGCACAAGGGACTCCTTGTGTAGAATTTCAGACAATTCAGTTGAAAAATGTGGCTAAAATCATCAAAATACCGAATATCGAGGGGCCGTTATATGGGGGCTATACGATATTGCGGACCTATAGAGATAATTCTCTTTCAGGGGGTAAAGTACTTATAAGGAACTCATTGCGTGGATTTTCAGACAATTCTGTTGAAAAATGTGGGTAAAATCATCAAAATACCGAATATGGGGGGTACTGTTACATGGGGGCTCTTAGAATTTTACGCTGATCAAGGTGGAGGGTATACAAAACAAGTAGTCTTCCTGTACATTTAGTATACACTTCCAAAATATATTACCACGACCTTTTTTACACCATTGTTCTAAGCTGAGCAATTTCGTCATAGTCTTACTTAGCTATTTTCTTTTAAACATTCTAAGTTATTTCTCAAATTATATTTACACAGCTCGGAAAACATTTAACATGTGTCGCCCTGGGCGTCACACTGCTACTAATGCTGAGTCATTATCCCACCAGCAGTGAGGGATCTCGCATATTGGCCATCTTTGCATTTCCCGGCAAAAGTCACTATGGAATGCATTCTGCCTTGATTAAGGAGCTAGTCGATCGGGGCCACCACGTGACCATGGTGGCAGCCTATACTTTGAAACATCTCAATTTGGGACAAAATTATACCGAGATTTTAATAGAGCCGGTCTATGACTTCTGGAGTGATGGTAAGAGGTCAAATAGTTACAAAATACATTTGAAATTTCTAACCATTTTTTGTATTACAGTCAAAGCCTACTTCAAAGCCGAAACCGTTTTCGATCTCAGCACAATTGGTGTTTTGGAAAATCATTTTATGTTGGAGGTTATTGGTTTCACCACCACAGAGCATGCGTTGAAGCAGCCTAAAATCCAGGAGCTCATCAATCATCCCAGCCCCCAGGGACAATATGATTTGCTGTTGTGCGAGCAGTTCTATCAGGAACCATTTTTGGCATTGGCCCACATCTACAATATACCGGTGGTGACAAGCGGAACTTTGGGTTTTGAAAATCACATGAGTCAAATGATGGGTCTACTGTCGCCCTGGTCTTTTGTGCCTCATGGTTTTACGGATTACAGTGATCACATGACGTTCAAGGAACGTCTCTTGAATTCGTATTATTCTCTGGCTGAAGATTTCCTGCGAGAGTATCATTATTTCCCCGAAATGGACAAAATGGTGCAGAAATATTTTGGCCATTTGAATGGTGAGTTGAAAGCAAATTGAGATTGAAACTTAAAACTCCCATGCAATGATGCTATCCATTAACAAGGTCTCTAAGGGCTTCGTTAACATGACCTTGTAGCTCTACTATAAGAAGACATCAAGCTCTTCTTTGAGAAAACCTCGAGCTCTTCTATGAGAAGACCTCGAGCTCTTCTATGAGAAGACCTCGAGCTCTTCTATGAGAAGACCTCGAGCTCTTCTATGAGAAGACCTCGAGCTCTTCTATGAGAAGACCTCGAGCTCTTCTATGAGAAGACCTCGAGCTCTTCTATGAGAAGACCTTCAGCTCTTCTGTGAGAAGAAGACCTTCAGCTCGTCTATGAGAAGAAGACCTTCAGCTCGTCTATGAGAAGAAGACCTTCAGCTCGTCTATGAGAAGAAGACCTTCAGCTCGTCTATGAGAAGAAGACCTTCAGCTCGTCTATGAGAAGAAGACCTTCAGCTCGTCTATGAGAAGAAGACCTTCAGCTCGTCTATGAGAAGAAGATCTTCAGCTCGTCTATGAGAAGAAGATCTTCAGCTCGTCTATGAGAAGAAGATCTTCAGCTCGTCTATGAGAAGAAGATCTTTAGCTCGTCTATGAGAAGAAGATCTTCTGCTCGTCTATGAGAAGAAGCTCTTCAGTTCTTGTATGAGAAGACCTCTCCTATAAGAAGACATTGTGGTCTCCTATAAAAAGTACTGTTGGTCTTTTATAGGAAGAGTTTTTGATTTTCTACACCGTTTGGTGTTCTGTTGGAAAAATTTTAAAAATCTAAGAATATTTTAATTTTGAATTTGCCGAATTTGAAAGTGCCCATCCTAATAGGTTTATGCCCTCCATCTCGTTACAGTGACAATTCCTCCAATATCTCAAATGGAAAAGAATATTTCAGTGATGTTGCTGAACAGTCACCTGCCACTGATCACGGCAAGGCCACTGGTGCCCGGCATTGTATTCGTTGGCGGCATGCACATCTATCCACCGAAAAAGTTGCCCCAGGATATACAAGACTTTATGGATGGGGCTGAGGATGGTGTGATTTTCTTTAGCTTGGGTAAGATTCTCCAAAAATTTTTAAAACCATAAAAACTCAAATATTTTATTCCCAAACTTCCAGGCAGCAATGTTCAGTCCAAAGATATGCCCGACGATAAGCTGCACATTTTCCTCGATGTCTTTGCCTCGATGAAGCAGCGTATCATCTGGAAATTTGAAAATGAAAGCATTCCCAATTTACCGGAAAATATTCTCATCAAGAAGTGGCTACCACAATCGGATATTTTGGCCCATCCTCGCACCAAAGTCTTCATCACTCATGGTGGTCTCTTTGGCACCCAGGAGGGTGTTCATCACGGCGTACCCATGTTAGGTATTCCCTTCTACTGTGATCAACAATTGAATCTGAGAAAGTCGGAGAGAAACGGCTATGCCATTAGTTTAGATTTTCTAACCATAACCCATGATTTGCTACGCAGTTCTTTGGAAAAATTACTCTACGATCCCAAATATAGGGAAAATATTCAGAGATATTCCCGCATCTTCCGTGATCGTCCTGTGGGTTCTCGGGAAACGGCTGCCTATTGGATTGAGTATGTCATACGCCATGGTGGAGCACCTCAATTGCGTTCTGCCGGCCTGGATTTGGAATGGTATCAATTCTATTTGTTGGATGTTATAGCATTTGTTGTTGTCGTCGCTGTAGTTGTAATTCTAGTCTTAGGCTATATTTTCAAGAGGCTACTCTGCGGTGTTGCTGGTGGTAGTAGTAGTAAGAAACTTAAAGTAAATTAATTGTAGTCTGTGTTTTGTAAAGTATATATAGAAATAAAATGTTGATCGAATTTACTTAAATAAATTGAAGGTTTGCTACTTTTTTTTGCTGTGGAATAATTTTAAGGTCATTGTTGCATTCATTATTTTTATGGGCAATATACAAAACTTCTTCGGATAAAATATTCTACCGACTTATTCTCTACTACTCTGCATTTCCCAATCCTCGTTCAAATCTCAGCAAAATCGGTTCTATAGAAACGCTATATTCAAGAAACCGCTCCACTCACATTCATCCTTTAATGTTAAATTTTACGTTCAAAATCAAATAACGACAAATCTTCCGAATATTTTTAAGTAAATCTAAAATTTATTCTACCAAAATTAGGTGAGTGTGGTATTGAAATATATGGCCTCCTATCCCAAAAAAATTATTCAAATATTATTATGTCGCCCAGATTATTTTGAGGAACAAATATTAACAAAAATTGTGGAGTTTTAAAGACAATTTGAGGGGCACCAAGCCCCTGGTCAATCGTTATTTAAGAATAATATTTTAATAGAACCTCTGACCAAAAATCGAGAATTTTGAAAAAAACATTTCTAACATTTTGTGCATTCCTAACCGAAAATCGTATATTTTTAAAGAATATTTTAAGGGCCTCCAAGTTAAAAATCGCGGATTTAAAAAAATCATTTTCAAATTCACCTGGCACAAATATTTTTGACAAATCTTTTGACTAAAAATTTATAATACCCTTAGGGATATTTTGATGGAATTCCTGATTAAGAGTCTTGCATTTTTATATAATATTTTGCAGGATCTCTTAATCATAAGACATATATTTTAAAGAATATTTTAAAAGATTTCCCGACAAAAAATCGTGTTTTTAAGACTCTTGGAGGAACTCTATACACAAAATTTGGGTTAAAAATTGTGATTTTGTAAAAAAATGTTTTCAAGGACATGTTGGCAAAAATCCCGATTATTTTAATGAAATATGATTAAATATCTCCTGATCGAAAATCGTTTTTACACATGTTTTTTTTTTAATTTTTGATGGACCTTTTGACCAATATGTTGATTTCTTTAAAGAATATTTAGAAAGACCTCTTGAGCCTAAAATCATGGATGTGTGAAGAATATTTTGAAGGATTTTTTTAAATGATTTTTTAGGATCTCTCGTCAAAATAATGGCGGATTTTTTAAAAACCTTTCTTTAATATAAAAATAGATTATAAAAATGTAAAGGTTATCATCCTCAAAGTCATGCATCGTATCCAAAAATCTTTAATTTTTGGAATATTTTTAAAGTCCTCCTAACCAATTCGGGGATTTTTTTTTAAGAAAAAATGTTTGATTATTTTTATACAATAATATTTTTGGTCAAGAGCAAAAATCAATATCTATAGATATTTCAAAAATAACTTGTGAAGACCTCATCACCAAATAATAAGAATTTTTAAAAGGCTTTTTAGGAATGTATTTTAGGACATCTCCACAAAATTATAGTGGATTTTCGTAAGAAATGTTTTTCTAAGGTCCTCCCGCCCAAATCAAAATGGATTTAAAAAATTAAGAACCTCATGAACAGAATCTTGAGTTTTTATAAGAATTTAGAAGGACGTTCTGACTGATTCGGAGATTTTAATACCCTACACCACAAAGTGGTAAAGGTATTGTGTCTTTGTGCATTTGTTTGTAACTTAGAGAAGGGAGCGAGAGTTATTTTTGAGGATCTTCATAAAATCTCTTTCTGAGTCGATTTATGCATGTCACTCCGTCTGTCCATATATTTTTGTAAACAATATGCAGGTCGCATTTATTATACGATTGAGATGAAATTTTCCAAACAATATTTCTTTAGCCTAAGGACGAACCCTATTGAAATTGGTTCAAATTTAGATATAGCTCCCATATATATCTTCAACAGATATCCAATATCCGATGGCCAATATCAGTCCCTCACATTCGTAATATGCACTCCACAAGAATGATATTTGGTACCAAATATCAGATATAGCTCAAAAATAACTTCCTAAAATTTTGTCAAGATCGGTTCAGATTTAGATATAGCTGCCATATATACATTCATCCCATTTCATATTTATTGTGCGCCAAATGGCTAATATCAACACAAATGAACTGAATTTTGGCACATCCGACCAAATTCAGCCCAGATGCATGTACTTCAAATTTGGTGAAAATCGGTTCAGATATAGCTATAGCTCCCATGTATATGTTTCATCCGATTTCGTGTTAAAGTTCCTCACATGCGTAATATGTACTCGACAACAATAATATTTGATACCGGAAATCAGATACAGCTCGAAATTACCTCTGTCAAATTTTGTGGAGATCGATTCAGATTTTTATATAGCTTCGATAAACATATTCATCCGATTTTATGGTTAATGTTCACCATATGTGTAATATCAGCCCAAATTGGATAGATTTTTTCATATTCAACTGCATTTTTTCCATTTGGTGAAATTCAGTCCGGTATATGTATTGATCCAATTAATATTTTTAATATAATTCTTGTTGAAGTCATATCACGCACCATTTAGCAAAGTTATTTGCTACTGGAGCTACAAAAGCCTCCGTCAAATTTGTTGAAAATCGATTCGGAGTTGGATATAGTGACTGCTCTAAAACCACGATAATACATTCAAATAAGATTCATAGTTGGTGAATCTACTTCACATAAAATCCCAATATAAGATTTTTTCTTATTTGAGCTCTACTAAACATGCATAGGGGTGTATGGTATCATATAGTCAGCCCCGCCCTTTCCTTACTGTTTTTTTTTTTTTTGGTACAATAGTAATATACATAGCATAATGTAGGCATTTCTTGTAGTGCAGACATTTGGTTTGTAGTCCCCTCCCATTTAAATGTTATAAACTCTTTCCCATCCTTGAAAATAAGCGAATATCCTTCAGCATTTCCATTATCTAACTATTTACAACAAATCTAATCTTCTGATATTGTTATTATTTTTATATATATTTTTGTTACCATGACATCGATAGTAACCATAAGGTTAATAATAAATGGATTAGGTGATCAATTAAGCATTATCTCTCATTAATATTATGTCAGTGTCATGCTTAAATGTTCCATACCCCAATTTTTTGTGTTACCCTTCATGCTCTTCGTATACCCTAAGGTCAGTTTTCTTATATATTCTAGAGTCGTATTAAAGTAACTTTTCAGATTTTTGTTAAGCATTTTCGAGTATACTTATAGACTTTCTCCATATTTTTTTATACCCTCCACCATACATAGTATGGAGGGTATTTGATGATTTTAGCCACATTTTCTAATGGAATGGTCTGAAAATCCCGAAAGGAGTTCCTTGTGAGTACTTTATCTCTTAGAAGAGATTTATCTATATAGATCCACGATATCGTATAACCCCCATATAACGGTACCCCCAATATTCGGTATTTTGATAATTTTAGACACATTTTCTAATGGAATGGTCTGAAAATCTACACAAAGAGTTCTTTGTGAGTACTTTTTTCTCTGAAAGGGAATTATCTATATAGGTGTATGATATCGTATAGCCCCCATAAAACGGTAAACCCCGATATTCGGTATTTTGATAATTGTCTTCCACAAAAGGAATCCCTTGTGAGTAATTTATCCCCTGAAAGAAAATTGTCAATATAGGTCCACGATATTGTATATTCCGGTATAACGGTACCCCCCGATATTTGGTATTTTGATGATTTCAGCCACATTTTCAATGGAATTGTCTGAAATTCCAGACGAGGAGTTCATTGTGAGAGTGTTCATTGGCAGAGAATAACGGAAAATATATAAATTGATTTATATTAATTAAACTATAACAAATGAATTGATATACAATTTTAATATTTATTAATTTATTTTTATATGAATAGCATAGAATTTTTTACTTTTAAACATTTTTGCAACCGCTAAAAGTATGTTAAACACTAATTTGAAAAAGTTACTTTATATATGACTCTAACACGAAGTGTGAACAAATCTTAATGGTATAGTATAATGAATTCAAAATTTAAAAAGAAAAATATTTCAAAATAGGAATGCCATCTTGGATTTGGAATTTGAGGATTCATGAACTTGAAGATCTCATGTTTATTTTTATATTTTTTTAATTTCTCCATACCGGTAACCGGCTTTGGAACACTTGAGCATAACACTGTCCATTTTTCTTATCGAGTAACTATCAAGGTTTTTCAAGTACGACCGATTAGTGATTAATTACTTAATAATTGTTATTGGTTTATTCCCATATTTGTAATAACTTTTGAGATAAGTAGAAATCGAACCCCCTGATTCACAATAAAATAAAATTGCTGTCAATGACAATTGAAGATGGTTTATATTTAAAGAGCTTAATGATAAAAAGAAAAACCTCCATGTTTTATATAATTGTTCATTTTTTGACATTTACGAAAGTTTGGAAAGTTTGAATTTTAGGCAATAAGTGCCTTTTTCAATATTAATGATAACAATATTAGAATGATGTTGGGATTTTATCCCTCAAGCGAGGAACCCCCAAATGGATATTTCTGGTCCTTTTTTCAAAATATGGTTAACACATTTGATTCAACGGGATCGCAGCAAATCAAATTATTTCACAAACATATTTGTCATTAAATCCTACTATGGGTCTTAGAAGACATCAAAAGTCTAAATATTACCTAAATGCCAGGAATTTCAAAATATTACATATAACTTGTAGAGTAATGGTGGTACTCCCAGTGAGTTAAAGTAAACTTTTCCTACAAAGCATTATCTGCAGCAAATTTTCTTCACTAAATTTCAAAATATATCACCGAGATATTTCCATTTCCATTATATAAGAAGAAATTATTTTTTACTCTTTGATGGGGTTTATTTTGCCTTCTTCGAGTTGAGTAGCGTAAAACTTCATTTTAGACAGAAATTCTCAAAAGAAGAAATATTCTACCCGGAAGTCCACTATAAATCTTAGTTATTAAAAACAAGTAAACAAAGGCTAAAGTCATGCGGGGCCGACCATATGATACCCTAGAACACTACAATATGTTAGAAGCCCCCTTATGTCGAAATCCATGTTGCAAGATTTCGCTTTTGAAATTATGTCACG